AACAACACTCCAGGCCAGGTTTAACAGCACGCACCTAGGGCTGTGCATACACTAATGTAGACATGGACCGCTAAGGCGCCTTCGAAAGAATCATCTCTGGTGTAAGGAAGTTGACAACTCCTCAGAACAATTAATGACTCAAGTAACACCCTCAGAACATTCTTCCTCTTTTTGGAGTCTCTAAGGCAAGATTGAACGACTGTCTTCATCCCCTTGAGTTGATGTAGACTTGACAGCAAGCAGTGGTGGAACTCCCTCACCTCCTCCCTGCTGGACACAGGAGGGGAAACTGAAACATTTATGTCATTCACCTTCTCACCCACCCCTACCCTCTCCATTGTAATCAGGGGCTCACATAGCTCTGTTACATAGTAAATTTACAATAAATATTAAAATTTTATAATAAATATTGAAATTATAAATATTACAATAAATAGCAATATTTGTAAAAGTTGGAAACAAGTTAATGATATTAAAAAAAAAGAGGAAACAGAATCCCACAAATCTTGCACTACCACTTGACTGCACACTGCTTTGAATGGGGCTACTAGAGGAAGGGTCGAGGTGTGGAGGCTGTCTCAGGGTCCCCAGGTATCAGGGGCTCCAGAGTGCAGAGCACGCTGGCCACGGGATGGGAGCTATGCCTGCTGCCAGAGGTCTCCTGCACCCCTGCTCACAGCAGGGGCATCCCTGGATCAGCAGGGTAGGACATGCAGGGGAGATTCCCACCCAGAGCACTGGCCCACCCGGAAGAGAGACCCTAGCTGCATGCAGACCCAACTGAATGTCTCTCACGGTGGTTTCGTGGCATCCCTTAAATGCATTCGTCCCCTAAGCTGAAGGTGAACCGACCAAACCTTTGAATAAACTGTCCTGATTTCAGAACACTGGGAGGTCAGATGAGCTAAGGAAAGCTCCTGGGAGCTGCCATACCCTGAGGGCATGTGCCCTGCAGGGAACTGGAACTGCGCATGTTCTCTTTTGCTCTAAGAGAATCTCTGAGCATCACTCCCAGCTGCACAGCTCCCAAACCACGGTGCTAGCACCTTCTTGGCTCATGAGAGGGCTGAGTGCCCTTCTCAAAGGGCAGGTGGAAATGTGTGTATGTCAGAAGTCCACACAGAACGGAGTGGAGGCTGACCTACTTGGTTGTGACCACTCCCTTGCTAATTGCTCCAGGCTTGTGAGTTAACTCACTCTGGGAGCCCTCATCTAGTCTTGACAGAGCTAATCCATAAAGATATGAATTCATTAGGATGCCTCCCGTGACTTCACCATCTTTTACTGTATCCCCTTATGCAGATCTCCCCCAGTGTGGCACACTGGGAACCAAGCTTCCAGCATGTAAACTTTTGGGGGCAAACTGCAGTCACAGCACGGCCTCCTGCCTGGTACCACCGGCTGGTTTCATGGAAGGTAAGGGGACAGTGAAGATGTGACAACAGCAGACCCACGGACACAGCTGGTCTTTGGCTGCATTCTGGCAGGAAGGCTCATGAGGTGGAGCTCGGGAAAAAGCAGGAAGGTGGAACCAATGAGAGGGCTGCCTGGAGTCACAGCTTTCCGACTTCCATGCACATAGCTTCTTACCAATCAGACTGACACAGTTTCGCTCAGCCTTGCATCCCTGTTTGCCCAAAGGCTATGGTGAGGGTGGAGATAAGAAGCAAAGCTGGCGGACACCTCCTGCTCCTCTCAATTGAAATAAAGGAGCTTGTGGAACCAGGGCTAGGTGCAAGACTTCTTCCTTTCTCAACACCAACCAGAGGGTAGAGCAGAGAATGCTGCTGAAGGGCTCTCGTGGTCTCCAACTGATCCCCTCTGGGGCCTCATGGCAGACTAACACACCGCTGACTGGGTGGGCCACACTGGTTGAACAGATGCCAGCACGTGACTGCTGGGCCTGTCCTAGGGCTGAGTGTGGCCATCCAGGCTGTGACTGACTCATCAGCATAGTGTTTCAAGAGTACCCAGTGAGCACCGATTCTTGGTGAAGGAGGACAAGGTGGGTACCAGTAACTGCATCTCTGCACCAGGGGTGTGGATGGGCTTCAGGGTCAGTGTGACAAGGCTGTAAGAGCCCAGGCATCCTGGCAGGGAGTCAGCTAATGGAAGGCACACTGCTCATGCTGTATCTGGAACTCTCTGCTTCTGGGCCTGCTCACAATTGGTGTCTGAATTGGTGTGGCTCTGAGACTTGTTGGAAGAGCTTGGGGGTTGGAGGTAGAGAAAGGGAGATGTGGGGCTGACCTCTGTAATGTAATAAAAATGCCTCTGAAGACTTGTTTTTACTTTATCCACAGGATGCGCCTGGGTCCTGTGAGTATAGGTAGTGGGAGGCAGGTATCAGCTCAAGTGGACAAGACGCCTTGTAGAGTCAGAACAATAGTTCAGTGGGAAGGGAATCTTTTTGGGAAAACCAACTGAGTGGATGGGTGAGGAGCAGGTGGTGTTTCCAGGTCAGGGGGCAGGAACTAGAGAGCCTCTCTGTCTACTCCCACTTCCTGCAGGTATAAACAAACTGGGCTTTACAGAGCACTGACGGACACTAAGGCAGGCTGGGCATTTGGGAAGGAGAACACACTTCTGGAGAACCAGCTATTTACTTCGGATCCAATTGAAAGAGAATCCACTGCAAGGCTCAGCACAACACTGCTTTGCAAGAGATGCGTGCAGTTCTGCGTTTGCCAAAGTCCCTGCCATCAGCCTGCAACCTGCCACACTTCACATTCATGAAGCAGGAGTGAGTGAGGGATGTGCTTCCTTGATACTAAGTCCTGTATTTTCTTCTTCACATTAAACAAGAGCTCTAACTGGCCTCATGTGTGTAGAATGAACAGCAAGGCATGGGACCTCCTGCAGCCTGCTGTCCCACCTCAGCACATGAAGCATCAAGATGCTGCAGTTCACATCTGCTGGGGCCCAGAGTCCTCTCACGGCTCTTCCTAGGGGAAGAGCATGCTGCCACCTGGCTTCTCAAAGGACGAAGGATGAGGTAGGCGAGAACTGTGTGGCAGACGGCCACTCAAATCTGACACTGGGCCAGAACGTCTTCTCCCTGGGGCTGCAGCCTTCTTGCTGTTGCACAGTGGGATTAGACAATGAGATTCCAAATTTCCCTTCCAACTCTGAGATGCCAAGGCCAGGAAACAAGTCACTCTCACTCACCATGCCTGTGAGCCTCCAGGCCTTGGCAGCAGGGTAAGACTGAGGCATGTGCTACCAGACGCCAGTGGCAGGGACACATGGCTAACCACTCTGTTATGTTGCTACTGATTTTGTTGCCAACATGGGGCAGGTGTTGTGACAAAGAGGGTAAGGCCATTGCCTGCAATGCAGGCCTCCCTATGGATGCTGGTCTGAGTTCTGGCTGCTCCATTTCTGATCTTGTTCCTTGCTACAGGCCTGGGATAAGCAATCAAGCGTGACCCAAGTACTTGGGAGCCCTGCATTCATGTGGGAGCTCTAGAAGCAGCTGTTGGCTCCTGGCTTCAGTCAGGCCCACTTCTAGCTAATGCAGTCATTTGGGAGTGAATCAGTACACAGAAACTCATTCTATCTTTCCCTTTATCTCTCCCTTTCAAACAAATAATCTTTTTTTTAAAGATTTATTTTTATTATTATTTTTTAAATTGGAAAAGCGGATATACAGAGAGGAGAGACAGAGAGGAAGATCTTCCGTCCCATGATTCACTCCCCAAGTGAGCGCAACGGCCGATGCTATGCTGGTCCAAAGCCAGGAGCCTCTTCCGGATCTCCCATGTGGGTGCAGGGTCCCAGAGCTTTGGGCCATCCTCGACTGCATTCCCAGGCCACAGGCAGGGAGCTGGAAGGGAAGCAGGGCTGCCGGGATAGAACCGGCACCCATATGGGATCCCGGGCGTGCAAGGCAAGGACCTTAACCACTTGCGCCACCGCGCCAGGCCCAAACAAATAATCTTAAAAATAAGATCTTATTGTCAAAGGTAACCCTATTCCTCATTCCTGTTAGCAGCCAAATTCTTTGAGACGATTTGACTACACAATCCTTTTTTAATATGTGGACCTTACCCCACTTGAGCTGTACTTTACCATTTCAGTGAACCAATAAACTATATGTTACTGCTGTCCATCGTGCAATGAGAGGCCCTGCAGTGGCCAGGACATGGCCTGGATGCTGAATGTCCGTCTACCAACGGTCTGAAGAGATGGCACCTGGGAGGAGGCCCCAGGTCACTGGAGCGTGCCCTGGAAGGTAGTTGTCTAAGCTTGGCTTGAGCCCAGTTCTCGCTGCTTCCTGGGTGGCCTGAGATCTTTTCTCTGCATACATGCTGCCATTGCCATCTGCGACCCTCAGCAGACCGTGGCGCTCCTCATTTTGGAACTGAGCCTCCAAGACTGTGATGAAGTTAACTGCCTCAGGTGTTTTGTCGTCAAAACTGAAATCTGACTAATATATGCACAGGGCTGATCAAAGAAATGGGGCGCAAATCAATAGCACTACCACTTCCCGTCTCTGAGGACCTGTCAGAACAGACGTGACACTCATCCCCCTGGAGAGAGGAGGCAGAGCCTTTGGGGGCCCTGTCTGTAGCTGTGGTTTGAAGCACTGGACTTGCCCAAGTGCCCTGGGAGCAGAGGTGCAGCACACAGAGACCCAGCACCTGACCGTTGCCAGGCTACCTGACACAAGGGAAGACGGCCTAAGGGGATTCTCCTGGCTGACCCACAGGGAAAAACAACTACACAGGAACTCTGGGAATTCAATTTTGTAATTTCCCAGTTTTGGAGTCAAAATTTACTGCCACTACTTTTGGAAACTTAAAATCCAGGAATCTGCAGAATATTTTCATTGTGAGAACAATTTTTTCCCTTTCAATTTGAAAACATGCACTGATACTGGCTGAAATCCTAACGCTCTGAGATCTGCCTGTTTTCATGTGAAACATGTAATCAAACACGGTGAAACAGGAATACAGTCATCACAGAAAAACACTAGACATCTTACGCATTTCTCTTTAAAATGTAGTCTGTATTATTTTCACCAATCAAAACACACAATATATTATAAAACATTAGGCAATGTTACTTCTGAGATACGCAGTCTGAAAGATCACACCTGTATTTACTATCATGTGAAATACCAGAGCAGTTACATTAGAAGTCAACCAGACGCACTCATACATCATTATCATGACTGAACACAGCATGAAATCCGGATTTCAACAGGATTCCACTCTGCTTCACACGTGGACGTGGGCGTCAAGCCGGTCCGTGGAGGGTGCTCGCCTCTCGGCACTGGAGCCCTGCGTGTCGTGTCCCCAGCAGGAGCAGAGCTTGGTCTCCACGGGCAGACCCAGAGCCCGGTCCACGTGGCACAGTACCTCCAGCCCGTTCCACTCTGGCAGAGCTCTGTCCACTCTCCGGAACCAGGCATGGGGAGGTACTCCTTTCCTTCTGGACTGAAAATGAAGCCAACAAAAGGAAAAAAAAAAAAAAACCTAGTCCAAATGCCAGGATAATAATAAATCACCTGGTTTATAAAAATACATGTCCAAAATAGTTACTTCCAGGGTTGTGTACAATATAAATTACAAAAATAAAATAGAAAAGATGAAAAAGTTGAGTCCATTTTCAGCTTTTTCTCCCACCTCAGTACTCGTAACGCACCAGGACCTTGGCAGGTCTCGGCTCAGAAGGGAGGACCCTGAAACTGGGTGAGGTATTTCTACAGAGCTCTGTGGCCTGTCCCGGTGCACGCTCTTTCACCTGATGGAAACCCCGCTTTGACCATCATGGTTCCACCCAGAGCAGTGGGGTCTGTGGACGGGGGGGCCACCATACTCTGCTTCCTGGGACCTTCCTGGTAGTGGGACCTGGAGGAGCTCACTGGCAGCCTATGGCAGCTGGCACATCTTTAACACTCTCCCTTTTCTTTGTATCTCCTTTAAAAGACAGATTTAGTAAAGTTTTTTTAAAAAAACGAATGTGAACTGGAGTGAAAGCCATTGTAAAGTGTTGACAGTGGCACTTTTCTCACCTAGACCCTTAGGTGTACAAGGCTAAATAATCCTAAGCCAAAGAACAGGTGTTTCTCCCTCAATTCAAGTCAGTACTTTGTCTTTGTACTTGAGAGTGTCTCAAAGACACCATAAAAACTAATTATCACCACGCCATTTTTGTTCATCATGGGTTCCAGTTTCCAGTGACACGACCAACCAAGAAGGTAATTGGTGTTGATACAATTATGTGTTTTAGACCCAGCATAAAGTTTCTTCCTCCTTTAGAATACATTCTCTAAGACACTGACCATATAGCTTCAAATAAGTGAATACAAGATAATGAATCAGTAATGAAATAAGCTTGGGGGAGACACACCATGAGCACAGGCAGCGGACGTGAGCACCCTGACTCCACTTCTGCAGTGACACTTTCTACTCAGGATTGCAGTGCACCTTGAAAACTTGACAAGTTGTCACATCTGAAAGCATCAATTTCAGGTGAGCAGTTTTGAAATCAGACAACATTCCATGCTAACCACTCCCCTGAGAGTTCATCCTTCACAGCCCTCTGAGGAACATTCTAGGACATTCACAGGTTTTCCTGCCAAAAGGCAGCAGCAGCAGCAGCACACAGAACTCCCAACTCAGCCCTGCCCCGCAACAGACCAAAGGGGTGTTCATCTAGCTTTTCCCAGCAAAGATGAAAATGCCCAGTAAGAATGCGGGGTTAGCAAAGGGAAAAGCCGCCTGGTGGGCTCACCTTCTCCACCCTGAGTGACGGAAGTGAGCCACTCAGGCCAGTCTCTGGCAAGTCAATGACCATAACAAATGTCAGCAATTGTTTTGCAACATTTTACTCTAACATTAGGCCATGGATTTAGGAGTTTGTCCCGTAGCGAGACAGGCGTCATATGCTTCATAAAGAAGATGAAGTTATAGGTAGCATTTTAAATTAATAGCAAGTCCAGAAAGACCAAGAAAAAAGAAGTAAGGCAGGCAGGACTTCAAAGGTAAATATGCAGTAAGCAGCACCAAATGAGAGAGAACTTGATCATGCATGAAAGCTGGCCATACAGTCATCCTAGGCTGGACAACATGGAGGAGACCGTGTGGCCAGGAAGTATCCTGGCTCTAGCAGCAAGACATCTCAGCCCAAAGCATCACAATCTAAGAAATGCTGTGTGTTTTGTTTATTAAATAGATTCCATTATAATATTTCTGAAATACAAAAGATAGAATAAATCATACCATAAAATAGGGTAAAATAAGGTAATATGGTGCCCAATTAATATGCACAAACTTATGATTCTTTTCTGGATAGACATCCAACTATTTAAGATCAAGAGATAATTCTAGAAATAGCACTACCTGGCAGATTATTTGGCAATTAGATACTGATTTCCAAAGTGCTAGACGGGCAGGTCAGGCAGGCATTTGTCATCACATGCACAGAAGACCCAACAGTTACGGATGAATGCCACCACTGTTACTTACACCTTAAAAAAAGTCAGCTAGTCTAATTGCTCACCTGAAATGATTCTGAACAAAATTTCTAAAACTGTGGCTTGTACTTTCTTCTTCAGACATGATCTGCTTCATTTTATAATCTAAGCAGGCAATCCTAGGAGAACTGAGTAGGGGCAAGACATTGTGTTTCTTACATGCAGAACACGGAGTTTTCCTATTTGGTTCCATCAACCCCCAAGCATCTGGGGCCCAGGAAGCAAGAGTCCCTTCACTGATGACAAGTTTAACATTCCAGCTTTCATCGACAACCTTCCAGGGGTCCTGTCGAGGCATCGAGACTGCTGTCTGTGTCTGAGGCCAGTGTCTGTTCAGTGGACATGGACGAGATGTCATTGATAGATGATGACTGAGAAGGAGTGGCGTTGCTACTTACTGCTGCATCTGTGCTAAGAAAACCAAACAGAATAAAATCTGAGGCACGACATTGTTGCAGGTCCAGGTGAACAGGTTACAGCCTTCCCTGGCTCTGTCTTCAGCAGTTCCCAACCAAACTATTATCACAAACAAGGAATTAGTCAATCGTACATTCTGAACTTTGCCTGGAGTCTTTCTTGGGGCCCAGAATCCGAAATACTCCCAATTCTTTTCCTTTTCTTGACAGTGGTTAAACACACACACACACACACACACACACACACACACACACACACACACACACACACACACGGCTTTCAAACAGTTCACTGAAAATATGTACCCGGGTCTCCCACAGGGGTACAGGGTCTCAAGGCTTTGGGCCGTCCTCCACTGTTTTTCCAGGCCATTAGCAGAGAGCTGGATAAAAAGTGGAGCATCTAGGTTGGTCCCCATATGGGATCCCTGCACATGCAAGGTGAGAACTTGAGCTACTAGGCTACCATGCCAGGCCCTAAATAAATCTTTTTTTAAAATCCATGTATAAATTAAAAAAAAAAATTTTAAAGACTTTTTTTTACTTATTTGAAAGAGAATTACAGAGAGGGCGAGATAGAAATGGCCACTGGTTTACACCCTGAACAGTTGTAATGGCCACAGCTGGGTCAGGCCAAAGCCAGGAGATAGGAATTTCTTTTGTGTCTCCCATGTGGATAGAAGGGGTCCAAAGACTTGGGCCATCTTTTGCTGCTTTTCCCAGGTCATTAGCAGGAAGCTGGACAGGAAGTGGAGCAGCCAGAACTCAAACTAGTACCCATGGGGGATGCTAGCACTGCAGGCAGCAGTTTTACTCACTACACCACAATGTTGGCCCCTGGATTTAAAAAAATGCACCAAAATAGACTTCTCTTGATTAGATTTTCTGTGAACTCTTTAAATTACCCTTGCATGTAGTCATGTATTATCAACCTTAAAACAAATCTGGTTTCAAATTGGAACAAGCATCAAGTGTTGTCACAAATTTCAATTAGAACATTAGTTTTCTTCTAAGGAAAAATGCATCAACAATCCAAAAAAAAAAAAACATAACAACATTTTATGGGTGCCATTATTGTGGTGTAGTAGGTGAACTCGCCACCTGTGAAACTGGCATCCCACATGGGAACCCGTTCCAATCCTGGCTGCTCTGCCTCTGATCCAGCTCCCTGCTAAGGAATCCAGGAAAGCAGCAAAGGATGCCTCAAGTACATGGGCCTCTGTGGCCTTGTGGGATACCTGGATGAAGCTTCTGGCTCCTGGCTTAGACCTGGTACAGGCTTGGCAGTTGCAACCATTTGGGGAGTAAACCAGGGAATGTAAGATCTCTGTCTCTCTCCCTCTCTGTCTCTCAAATAAATAAATCTTTCAAAAAACCTTCTGGGGCCCGGCACGGTGGCGCAAGTGGTTAAAGGTCCTCGCCTTGCACGCCCGGGATCCCATATGGGCGCCGGTTCTAATCCCGGCAGCCCCCCTTCCCTTCCAGCTCCCTGCCTGTGGCCCGGGAAAGCAGTCGAAGACGGCCCAAAGCTTTGGGACCCTGCACCCGCGTGGGAGACCTGGAAGAGGCTCCTGGCTTCGGATCGGCATAGTATCGGCCCGTTGCGCTCACTTGGGGAGTGAATCATCGGATGGAAGATCTTCCTCTCTGTCTCTCCTCTCTGTATATTTGCCTTTCCAAAAAAAAAAATAATAAAAATAAATCTTTAAAAAAAAAAAAACCTTCTGCCATAAAAACTGCATAGAAGCAAACAAAAAAAAAATCAGTGATGTTTTACACAAATATTTCATAAATCTGGAAAACACATACTTTAACTTTTTAAAGCTAACAAAGCCATCTTATTTCCTACTATTCATATTTCAGTTTGGTCTGAGCAACAGCTAAGCATCTAGTCTCCCAGAGCTGTGATAAATTAACAACAAACACAAATCTGTGCTGTAGTTACGTAATGTCTAGATGCATGTCATGTTGAATATAATATTCAGAAAAAGAAGAGAATTATACAGTAGGTACTGTGTGTGGAATGTGTATGTGGGATGTGTGGGTGTGTGGTGTGTGTGGGTGTAATTTTTTTTTTTAAAGATTTATTTTTATTATTTTGTTTATTGGAAAGGCGGATATACAGAGAGGAGAGACAGAGAGGAAGATCTTCCGTCTGATGATTCACTCCCCAAGTGAGCGCAACGGCCGATGCTATGCCGATGTGTGGGTGTAATTTTAAGAGGAGTGATAAAATACATAGAACTGAAGAGTTTCACTTAACCAACAGGTAAGAAAATACAGATGCTGGTAATGTCCCTAACAGAGGTCTCTGACACCACAGACATCATTAGGCTTCTACCACATAAAGAATTATATGTACTCTTTTATAAAAAGAAAGCCAACCTCCATTTCACCTAGACCTGCATTTTTTTTTAACTGGATGGGACCAGGACAAGGGGTTGTTCATGTTGCAATGCAGTTGGCATCAGTGGTGACAAAGGTTCAGTGCCTGGCACGTCAGCAACACTGTCAACACCACCACTGGGACAAGCCACAGGGAGACTTTCACACAAAGGGCCCCCAACGTGAAGTTGGCCATGTCAGCATGTGACCCAGGACTGCCAGGTGGAGACGCTGAGGGGCAAAGCAGGCACTACATCATCCAATGAGCAGAGCAATCACCAACCTGAAGGCTGATCTTTCACAACACCATTCTTGCTTCTCTCTTCCCAATCCATGACTTCTTTGTAAATTAGCTCTTCAAACAGAAATGCAGGTAGAAACGTGCCGTTAGAGCCTCTGCTCTGCAAACAGCTTCAAATGGACCAGCCCCACCCCAAGTGCTCAGAGTGAGTGCTTTTAGTGGTGAGAGACAGCTGACTCAGTGGTAGGGTCTACTCAGTCTGAAACATCCACTTACAGCCAGCCAAAGATGCGGAGGGTGGGTGCACAGGTGGGCAGGTGGTTGGGACGGGGCAGGGAAGGAGACAAGAGTGGCTCCAACAGACATGACTCTGTACATCAGTCTTTGCTTGGCTTTCACTTTCATTTTCTTCAGTGTTCATTGGTAAGAACTGTAAGCTACCAAGGAAGCTATCAGGAGTTTCTAAAATACTAGGATTTATGAACCGACATTAGCACATTGCAAGCATGTCCTGAGGCTTAGGTGTGTGGCTGTAGGCACTGCCTAGCCACGGGTGTACATGCAGGAAGCTGGCTCTATTTGCAGGGCACCATCAGTGCTTCCGTGAGCTGGTGTGAATGAAAACCTGTCAGTTGGCCTCCTCACCGATGCTTAGGCTGCTGTAGTGTATTAATCTTGCCTGATAACAATACCTATTTGCATTTTTTAAAATCTGGAACTTTCCCCAAACTAGACTAGACTCTTCTGTGCAGAGTTCACATGAGCCACAGTCACACTTCCCATGTCAGCTTACAAACTGGAGTTCCCTTCACAATTCTAACACACTATCAGATAAGTGTGATACCATCAACTGAGTTTAGTTTACGAAGTAGTATCTGGTGACTTAAAGGTAGGTGAGGAAGCCTGCATCTTTCACAGATGAAACAAGCAGTAACGAGGCCATGTGCGTTCCTGTCTTACCCTCATTCACTTCTGTGCGGTAACAAGAGTGGCCCGGGGGATCCTGCCCTTCCCAAAGGGAAATGCCCCATGGGGCAGAACATGTTGGGGTTTTACCTTTCCACTCCTCAATGGCATGTTCTCTTTCCTCCAGCTGGGCATCATAGATCTGAGGTGGTGGCTAAAAAGCAGATTACAGGTAAAGTCAGCTGTTCAGCGTGCTGAGGCATCAGCAAGAGGCAAAACACTTGGAAAACTTCTCTATGGTACAGGTTTCTTTTCATTAAAAGTTCTGAAAGTGTGATATCGTATCAGTTTCAGAATCAAAATAATTAAGGAAGAACACAGCCCAAATTGAGCTATTAATAATAATCCTCTTAGTGATGGCAGGACCTCAGGATGTCCTAACAGCCTCTTCTGGTCTAATGTCCCTGTGCTGGGAACTCTGGGAGAGGCAGCTGTCCCTTGGACTTTTCCTCCTGGTACAACTCCCAAGTCTAATATGCAACTCACAAACAGAATGTCCCCCAAGTCTGCTCATAAACCAGATTCTTTTCCTACAAACAAATTTAAAATGATGCTGAAATCCATGGGTCATACTTGACAGCACGCAGTTAGTTAAGATTGCTGCAGGGTTGTACTTTACTGACAACTAACGGTCACCCAGGCCAGTGCTGCCATGGACAATACACATGAGCACTACGCTTACGGAACTGTCCCAGCAGGGGGAATGGGGACATGGTTACCCATTTGACCTCCAGCAAATGACTCAGCCTTCCTGAAGAGGATATAACTTGAGGCCACACACAGGGTTGAGCACAGAAAAGATGCTGAACAAAGGACAGCTTTGATCAACTCTTGACCAAAACTCTTGCCACCTGTGATAGCACTACTGTGCAGTACACTGCCTGGTGACACGATGGTTGTCTGAGTTTGTGTTCATGTGTGCCTCCTCAACAGTGCACTGCCCAACAACCCTCTTTTCAGAACACAGCCCTGTTGCTAAGCACCCTGCATCAGAATTAGGGGGTCAGATGCCCACATTCATGAAGGCAATTCTGGCCCCACAAAAGAATGTTCTTATTCTGATGAGACTTGTCACTCTCAAGAGGTGGAAGATTGCAGTGAGTGAGAGGCCTGCATGCCCTCCCCAAGTCAACACTCACCGCTTCAGCCTCGGCAGGGTCGTACCAGACAGTGATGTACGGGTGGCGCAAAGCCTCGTCCACAGAGATCCGCTTGTCGGGGTCAATCACTAACATTTTTGATAACAGATCTCGTGCTTGACTCGCTAGGGTGAAAATAAAAAAAAGCACACAATGAAGAAATCAACACGATTGCACACTCGGAACAGACATATTAACTGAAGAAACAGGACAGAAACAGGACAGGCCCTAAAACTTAAGGAAAATCCAAGCAGCTATTGGGCTTTCTAATGTGTTTCTATGCCTCTGATGCTGTAAGGGGAGGAGGAACCTGTACCCCAAGACCAGTGTTTGCGGGGAGGCTGAGAAACCACGGCAGGGTGTGTGGCAAGAGCTCAGGTGACACTACCACGGGTGTGGGTTCGAAGTGTGAAATCAGAACAGACTTTTAAAACCACACATGAAACTCATATTCCCACAAGATAAACACTTCACCATGTGTCTGCTTGGCCTAGCTGTTGTGCAATATTAATAATACATTAAAAAATCTAGATATAAAATAGGAAAAAGCCAACAAGTTCATAATTAAAATATAGGGTCACCCAGGTTTTGGCAATTAAAATTCACAACTTGCATGGGTAAGGGAAAGCTGGCAGCTTCTCTGACTAACGCATTGTTTACTTTGCTGTGGATGAAAACAAATCTGCTTTTCCTGACACGGACATTTCATTGAAGGGCATTAGTGGATAGGGAAGGCCTTTTTACTGAACAACCATCACAGATTCTGACCCTACAATCTGGATTCCAATTTTATGTGTACTTGAAAGCGCTGTGGGTTTCCAGTGCTGTGATGGGTGGCTTCAGAAGCTTTCAGATGAGTGTGAACACTGGGGACAGCTCTGCCAGGTTGGCAGCCGTCTTTGCACAGTGCTTCATGTGCCCGGTTTCCAGCCCACATGTGACTCTCTTCTGGGGTGTCAGCTTATTTCACCTGCCAACATTCACTTTTGGAATGGACACACATGTACAAATGAAAGCTTTTCTTGGATTTCACATGCAAATTTAAGAAAAAGAGGTATCTTACTTTTTATTTTGTCTCGTTCTGATTCTGATGGGAATATCCAATCTGGAAAGAGTTCTTCAAACTTGATTCCAGGGTACTTTGGTCTGTTCTCCACATAATTCCTCACAGTTGGCTGAAGCTTCTTCATGAACTCTGCGGATGGTGTTCCTAGCTGCTCAATCACTTTGTTCCACTGATCAATATCTATGAGCTCTCTTCAGGAAAATACAACTGAAATGCTTCACATTCAAGTTACACTAAGTAGTACTATCTGAAGGAGTACTTAAATTACATTTACATCAACAAGGAACTAACAGGGCCACCCCACTGGGTCAGCAGAAGCACTTTAAATGGTGTTCAAATAAGGCTTGTTTCTAGGTTAAATTATTTTAAAATTCATCTATGCTATATATTCTTTTACATATTATCATCAGTTTGGTGAATCAGCACCACTATGTCTATATGCCTTTCCATTCTAGTTCAAAATAAACTTGTAACTAAGAGTACCTAAAGCAGAAATAAGTAAACACTTGACACTGAGATCAGTTTCTGGAATTTGAGGAAGATCTCAGCTCTCTGAAGTGGAGAACTCAGAGGCAATGGAGAGAATCTCGCTGACACCCTCAGTTGACAGCTGGGCCTTGGCCCCACGAGGACAATGAGAACAGCTGCAGGGCCAGCTCTGGCCTTGGGGAGTCCTCTGCCACATTCCTTCCTGTACCTGGCTGGGACAGAGCAAGTTGAGCTCTGAGAAGCCACTCTGTTTTACCTGGCTTTCACCCACCACACCCTCTGTGGGCAAGGCCTGGGCAGCCTGTCTACTTCCTTTCAAACTGCAGACTCAGCTACACACTGAGCATTCACAAGGAACACAGCGAGTTAGTGTGCCAAGAGGTCAGCTTCCCTACGTGTACTATGTAGATCTCGGCAGCTGTGCCTCTTTCACAGGGTGCCTGCAAAGCTTGGGATGGCCAGAATGGTGACCAAGGAAAGTGATACTGAAACTGTAAGCTATCAGAGGAAGCATGAGAATAGCAGTTAAAAAGTGACAGTGGTCTGTCTTAGAAATGAGCTCATGCTGCAGCGAGGTAGGTAGCCCAGGTGGGCTCAGGTGCCTGACCTCTGCTATTTCTGAATGGTGGGCTTCCAGGCTGTGCCGGGAATGGGCTCCAGGCATTCCCATCACTGGTGGATCCTCCTGACTTTTTTTCATACACATTACTGGATCAGAGGCATGCCTTCCTTCTGTCCTGTGGAAGCTAGTTTGCACCTTTCCCTCTCTCCTTAGCCGTTCCACACCTCTTCCCCACTCAGTCCCGGGCGTCCCTCAGACCTGCCCTGGGGAGCTGGCTGGGCGCAGCTCACCTCCCACCTCTCAGGCACCCCCGGCTCCTGCTTGCTATCACTACATCCTTTATCCCTCAGAGTTGTCTAGATTCTGGTATCTCTAGTTCTGTCTTAAACATATTCTTCTCAGGCTTTCTCCCTGACTCCAGGAAACCCAGGCCCATCAGGCTCACCAGAGCCACGGTCACATCCAGTGCTCACTTCCTGAGTGCTGGCTTGTTGATCCTCAGTGCTCCCCTCCTCTGTCTGCAGGCACTAGCTTCCAGCCTCATGGCTTCAAGGCTGTCGGCAGACTGATGACCCCACACTTCTCTCTTTACCTCTATCTCCTGAATTCCACACTTGAGTTTTCTAACAGAAATCTCAAAATCCTAGTGGACTCTGAGGGCTGCCCTCCTCACCAGCATGCCTGCAGCTTGGTGTGGCTCCCACATCCACTCTACCTCAGAACAAGGTGAGGCCTGGTCAGCTTAGGAGCCTAATGATGGCAGCTGACCGAGTGTCTGCTGGAGTAATGAATGCCAGGATGCAGGAGGGGAAGGACACTTGGACGAGCCCGGTGGACCTTCTGGGTATGCACAGACCCCACTGCAGTGTCATGCCAGGGCTCTGCTCCGTAAGAAACCCAAGGTTCCAAGCAGCGCTGGACTCCTCAGAATGTGCGCTGCCACCAGGGCTAAGTGTCCATGCTGGGGCACAGGAAACTGCAAGTAAGCCTTTGAGAACACTTGACTTAATTTCCGTAAGTTTCAATATGTATTTGAAAATTGTGAAATTTTCTTTAGAAAACAGGGTAGCTCTCTATGCGAGTTTTGATAATAACATTTCGTAATTTTATATAAAAAGCATTATTTACTGATGATGTGTTAAATGTGAAGGAGAAATTTCAGATCACTGATATGTACCAAAAAGAATGTATATTCTCCACTTTTGTACTTATTGAACATTCCTTAATTACTATAATAAAAAAGAGTATAAAGTGAGTAAGAATTAAGACAAACGAAGGAAGTTTAGTTTTAAATTACTAGCCTACTATAACTTTCCCCTTTTTAAACTGAGTTTACTTGATTTTTATTACAAAACAAATACTTATGGAAATTTTCCAGAAAATGTATTAGTACAAAACAAAATGCTATATTTATCTTCACATGTAATCTATGAGTAGGATATGGAAAATATAAAATAAATGCAATGTCAGCAATAAAAAATTTTTCATTCCAAGTTTGTGCTGTGAAGAATTCATAAGAAAATGACTTTCAAGATGAAAATCACTTTCAAGAAGTATATGTAAGCACTGACTACAGAGCTTGCCTTGTATTCAAAGCAGCCACACCTGCCAAGAGAAGTGCTACTTCAGCTTTCAGAGCGAAACAGAAAATCAAAACCAACAGAAACATGACGTGGTCAGAACACAGGTGGGAAAAGGGCTGGGAGCGAGGCATGCGAGGGAAGGATGCTGGACATGCAAGACGGATGCCTGGATGAGAAGGGGCTCTCCTGGCCTCTGTGTCGTCTGTTCTCCCTCGCGCATCACGAACACGACTTGCTGGCCGCAGTATGAGCTAATCTTTGCAGCTTGTATTGATTTAACTTTCCCAGCGTGTCACAACTAGTATTTCTATGAAGTATCAGCAGGATAACAAGCAAGTACTTAACACACTGTTTCTCCCCAAATTCCCATTTTAAGCTTTTCTTTCAGGTCTTAGGTAGTGTATTTCAGTTCTTACACTAGGGGAAAACCTTTTAATATGAACTGACAACTAAAAAATAGTCTGTTAAATGAAATCACGCAAGCATATTAACTCACTAGATAACACCTCTCCTAGTTAAACAAACGAAATGAACTAAATGAAACAGCATTTTCATTTTTAAGTATATGAATGTACATATCAGTGAATAATTTACTTTGCATAAATTTCCAGCTAGTTGAAACATAAAATTAGGATATAATATAAGTGGCTAACATAACTCTAAATCCAACAGAATCATCATAGGTAGTCAAGTGAAAAAGAAAACGCAAAGTGAAACCACTTGTTTTGTGACACTAATTTAGCAACATGCAGTCTGGAAGATGACATTTTTCTTTGGCGCACTCCTGTAAGCAGGTGAGACCACGCTGCCACTGGCATCTACACAAAGCATGGCCGGGGCCAGGGTCCCGGGAAGGATACGATCAGTGCCTTGGAAAATCACACAACCTTTCACCAGCTCTCCCATGATGCAACCCACTGACCAGATATCAACTGAAAATAAAATGAAATGACAAAATTATGATGTGCCATGAACAAAAACAAAGGTGAGGACGAGGAATTCTAACAGTGCACTAAACACACAGAAATGGGAAATCAACTGCTAGCTAAGGGTGAACTTTTCACACAATACGAATGATTGCTGACCTCTATTTTAGCCTTCAGTTTGCAGCAATCTGGGGTTTTAGTGTCAAAGATTCCAATACTTTACGGCTTAAAAAAAACTAAAACAAAAACCAGAAACAAGAGGTGCCTGTGAACAACAAAGCCTTGAGGGCCAGGAGCCCCCCGCCCAGGCTCCCTCCCGTGAAGGATACAGTCTCTTCCTGGGAACAGGACTTTATGGAGGACCATTTCTGCCATGATGCACCCGACAGACCAGATGTCCACTACCAAACACCAGGTGGTTACAAACCAGCGAGAGAGCCCGGTACCACTTTCCTCCAAACCCCCTCCCAGATGAGACAAGTCCCCTAGGGAGCTTTGATGAGATGTGGGCAATGTTTGGTGGGGCTAGTGTGCCAGTCTGGGCTTGGAAAAGCTGTGCCTGTGGCATACCCACTTCTACTGTGGGGACTCGACAGCACAGGCAGAGCTATGGAGAGGCTCCTGCCAGAGGAGGTGGGTTAGAATGAACTGGGTACCCGATCCTCTCACCAACCAGAGCACCTACACACACCCACAGCGAAACCCACTTCCACCGACCTGGCAAAACTTAGAGTCTGTTTTCTTTCTTTTCCTTTCTTTCTCCCCTCCCCTCCCCCCCACCAAACTTGCTCAAGTTTCAAAGAGCTCTGATACTACTAGAACAAGCTCAGTTTTGATGTTAAGAAAGCACCAAATTTTTACCTTAGAGAACGTGCTGCTTTATTCAAGTTCAAAACATCAATGAGATCAGTGGTGCTGGGGCTGAGGACAGCAAGCACCCTTACGGGAGATGCCCAGGGAAAGCGGAAGGCCCCAGCACTGGCCCTCCTTTGGACACGCTGACCTCAGCTGCATGCCCAGCGTCTGCACACATTTCTAGCAGCAGTTACACTAGTTAAGAAGTATAGAAGTAATTTCAACAGTGATTTTTTTAAAAATAAATGCTCTTATGCATCATCAATCTAAAATAAATGATTTCTCATCTATGGACCAGGAAAACATATATAACAGGGTACCCATATGTTTTACACAGTTTCAAGGAAAAACTGGTGGTATTCTAGTGCTATTTTTAAACATTAGCCTTTTATGGCCCCTTCTGTACCTACCATTCTCTTTGTAGCCCATACCCAGGATGACTTCAGGTGCCCGATAGTACCGTGTTACCACATAGGGGGTCATCATGAAGTTGGTACATGCTGTTCGGGCCAGGCCGAAATCAAGGATCTTAAGGGTGCAGTCTGATTTCACTACAATGTTGCTAGGCTTCAAGTCCTAGGATAGAAAGAGTTTAAATGAATAAAGTGAACTTCACATTGCGTGGGTTGGTGAAGTTAGTGCCTACGGAAGTGAATGAATGCAGGGAGAAGGGCAGAATTACACACAGGTTTGGGAATGATTTTGGAAAATTCTCTTGAACTGGAACTCATCAAAATCAGGCTCAGAAGGTCCGGAGTTCCCCTCATGTGGAATCCTCCACAGAACTGCACAGTCCAGCCAGGGGTCTCCCAAGCAGTCCTGTCTGGCCCTGGCATCCACCCCTCTCCTCTCCACCCTCCCAGCCTAGTTTGCCTTCAGTTCCTCCAACACAATTCCACAAATCCTCACACTCACTCCTAGGCCAGGGCAGCATGGACCAGTAGAAACAACGTTAACCTTATGTGTATAATCTAGATTTTTTATCAGTCATGTAGAAAAGAGTAAACAGAATTAGATGAAATTAAATTTAATAATTAACTATTTAACTCAATATATCCATCGCATTATCATTTTAAAGTGTAAGCAACACTGAATAATCAATCTGGTTGCTCCATAAAGTCCATTCTGTACTTTACAACTATGGCTTCAGCCCGTGTGCTCCAACAGTCACTCATGGTCATCACTCCAGACAGCACAGGCCCAGAATTTGTTGGCCTCCCTGTAATCTGAAAATGTTTCCTTGGAATGAACCTTTCCACTATCCTCCACTGACATCAAGAGCCTAACACATTGTGCAAGGGCCTTCCTTCATGTCAAATTCCACATTCCAGAACCTTCCTCAGCCCATAGGAGGTTGACTTTTGCCTGAGGACTACAAACTGACCTACAACTATCTTCTAGACAACCCCTATCTATTCTTTCTCAGATGCATCTCTGCAACATTAAATGGTAAGTCACTGCCACATGGAAGGACATAGGGAATTTTTAAATGTGAAGTTTCATGTTTTATAAAGCTAAGCAACTGAGTCCTAAACATCCCAGTTGCCGGGCCACAGACAGGCCTCAGACAGGCCACAGACAGGCCTCAGGCCTCAGACAGGCCTCAGACAGGCCACAGACAGGCCGCAGACAGACCATAGACAGGCCACAGACAGGCCACAGACAGGCCTCAGGCCTCAGATAGGCCGCAGATGGGCTGCAGGCCTCAGACAGGCTGCAGACAGGCCACAGATAGGCTGCAGACAGGCCACAGGCCACAGACAGGCCACAGACAGGCCTCAGGCCTCAGACAGGCCACAGACAGACCACAGACAGGCCGCAGGCCTCAGACAGGCCACAGACAGGCCACAGGCCTCAGACAGGCCACAGACAGACCACAGACAGGGCACAGGCCTCAGACAGGCCGCAGACAGACCACAGGCCACAGACAGACCACAGACAGGCCTCAGGCCTCAGACAGGCCACAGACAGACCATAGACAGGCCACAGACAGACCACAGACAGGCCTCAGGCCTCAGACAGGCCTCTGGCTTCAGACAGACCACAGACAGGCCGCAGATGGGCCGCAGGCCTCAGACAGGCCACAGACAGGCTGCAGACAGGCCACATGCCACAGACCGGCCTCAGGCCACAGACAGGCCACAGACAGGCCACAGACAGGCTGCAGACAGGCCACAGACAGGCCGCAGGCCTCAGACAGGCCACAGACAGGCCTCAGGCCTCAGACAGGCCACCAACAGGCCTCAGGCCACAGACAGGCTGCAGACAGGCCACAGATGGGTCGCAGGCCTCAGACAGGCCACAGACAGGCTGCAGACAGGCCTCAGGCCGCAGACAGGCCGCAGACAGGCCACAGACAGACCATAGACAGGCCACAGACAGGCTGCAGACAGGCCACAGACAGGCCACAGACAGGCTTCAAGCTCAGACAGACCTCAGACAGGCCTCTGACAGGTTAGACAGGCAGTCTCTGAAAGTCAGCCTCAGACAGGCCTCAGAGAAGCGGCAGACAAGCAGCCTCAGGCTGGAGACTGCCCATAGACATTCCTCAAAAATGAGGATAGCTGTGGGGATGCTATCAGGATAAACAGAAGGTGACTTAAAAATGTGCAGCCACAATGATGTCTCAAAACAGTTTATTCAGCATAATGTTTAAAAGTATAGCAAAGCCTGGTGTTGTGATACAGTGGGTTAAATTTCTGGCTGAAATGCTAGTATCTCATATGAGAGCCTGTTCAAATCCCCATTGCTCTGCTCGGACATCTGGTAAGGCAGTAATAGATAGCCCAATAGCTTGGCCCCTGTCTCTCACATGGGAGACCCAGACAGAGCTCCTAGTTCCTGGCTTCAGCCTGGGCTGCTGTGGCCATTTGGCGAGGGAATCAGCACTTGAAAGATCTCCCCCATCTCCCTCTGCACTCTCTCTCCACCTACCACTCCCTTCCTGAGACTCTGATCTTCAACTGAATAAGTAAATCATAAACAAAACAAAACAAAACAAAAAACCACACACACAAAAATACAACAGAAATCCTTGCCAGGTGCAGGAGAAGACCTCCTCCTGCCATCCCAGTCCTCCCAGGGCATGTACCCCTTGGTATCCATGGAAGGATTCCAGGACCACTCAGGGGTGGACACTCAATTCCTTACACAAAAAGGTGTGGTATTTCCATAGAAAACACACACAATCTTTTGCATGCTTTAAGTCACCTCTACATGACACATACTACCTAACATAGTGTAAATGCTTTGCAAATAGTTGCCACACTAAAATGTGCAGGGGAAGAGTGCAAAAGGAAAAAGTGTATACCTGTTCAGAACATGTTTTAAAAATCTTTAGTACAAGTCCGCAGAGGTAGAGATGGCTGTTCTTCACCACAGCAGCACCCAAGATCCAATCTGGTCTAGCACCAGCAGCACAGCTGCAGGACAGCAAAGGCCATTGCAGCAGGGCCGGTATAACTATGGAAGCTATCTCAGTGGCTTGATGACCTGAACCAATCAGAAATCACACCCACCTCAAGATACTGCCACTTGTCAAGACACTGTTTTCGTGGCCTGATATTGTTGGAACAACACACTTTACTGCCCTCTTTTGGAAAGCAGTGATAAAACTTGGGCCTGAATGTCTGCAACTGGGGTTCTCAATGAGTCAATGCCCATATCATGTCTGATGCCTGTCAATTCAAAGGGCATTAGAGGCCACAGGGACTCCTGAGAGCATTCCACACCCATGGACTCTGCCCAGCCTGTGCAATACAACTTTCCTGAACTCAATGAACCTTCAGAATCAACAAGGCAGGGTCAACGCAGTTCTCAAAACCTGAAAGCCATCAGGAAACAGAAAAGCAGGACACACCCACAAACACACATGCCCAAGCCTCATGGTTTAGGCTTGATCCACAAAACATGGTTGCAAGGGCATGGTGTTCCCAGGAGCAGCCAACAATGCCACCATAACACACCTGTGACCAAAACCAGACAGGAGTAGAGGGTCAGCAGGCGGAGGGTCTGCCATGACCACTGCAACCACTGCCTGCTCAACTCCCAGATCCAGCCTGGCTGAAGGAGGCAGGACCCTACACATGGTGACAGGTGTTTGCTGTCTGAACTGCCCCGGCTCTTCCATATAGAAACTTTGAGCTGCTTTTCCCAGAACTCTCTCACCTCTCAAGCCAAGATTACTCAACTGCCAAGCACATTTGTGCTGCCCTGTATAGCTGAGTGCACACTGGGGTGACTCATGGTGAATACCAGACTCAGCCCCTCAAAAAGGAGGTTTGGGCTACACAGCCTGCCTTGGCAGTGGCTGAGCACAGCTGCATGCCAGGGGACCTAAGCTTACTCCGCTAAGCCCACTTTCTAGACCTCTGCTAGGGAAGGTGAGGCCATGGGAACCATGGCAGAGCTGCCTTCTCAGCCCTGGGGAGCAGCAGAGCTGAGGGGAACCAGGACTGGGAAATTCACAGAGATGCACTCTGTGATCCCCTGCTACAGAACAGAAGGGACAGAGGGTCCTAAGGCAGCTTCTGAACGCATCACCCTGTCCACGCCATGGCCCCTCCTCCCATGGTGACTTGGCCGTGACTGAGCAGACAGGAGACAGAGCCCGCTGACAGGACCTTAGTCACCTCTACATGCTGTTCCCTCTCCCTCCCCTTACCCCAGGTGCTGGATCTGTGCTGCCCTGATGGAATTCCTACTCTTCTGACTTGCTCCCCCTTTTCCCTTTAGGCTTCTCCAGGAAACCCCTCCCTGTCTGATCCACAGTGGCTAAGCTCTTAAGTGGCAAGCCTATTCAATGAAGGAGGGAAGGCAACAGAGAAGTCAATGCCTTGGAGCAAAGCTTGGAATCCCAACCGTGCTGGCCCCCAACAGCCAGGAAGGTCCAGGAAGCAGACCACAGGTGGCTGTAGAAGGTGGAGTAAGGCAGGCAGCAAAACACAGAGACACTTCCCAGAGCCCCACCTCCACCCCAGGAATGGAGCCTCTGCTTGTTTCCAGATCTGGAGGATTAGATACAAGATCAGACGCGGAGGAGAGCATGGCCGAGACCCCACCTAAGACAGGACTGGGGAGCAGAAGTCTGTGTTCTACCACATGAGGATCCAGGCAACCCCATCCTCCCCCCGACCCTTCATCCTGTCCCTGGAGCAAGACTCCCAGGACATCTGTGGCCTCTGTGGCTCTGTCCATGCTCTGTCCATGTCAACACCGCCAGTGTCTTCTGTTTGTTTGTTTATACATCAGAGCTCAACTTTATTTTTCTATAATTCTGAGGGCCATCTGGACCTGTCTTGGGTGGAACCTGTAGAATGCCACACTGTTGCAGTTCACTGAGCCATAAGTGAATTCATTCCCAGCTCAGTGCATGTGCAGTCCTGTCCTATAGCCCTTGCCTCCTTAAACAAATGGCGCCCGATGCAGCTCTAGGAGGCAGACTGGGTTGTGAAATCTACCCTGTTTCCCACACTGCCCATCTGCGGCCTGCCATTCTGTCTTTGCTCCTGGTCAAATCAAACAGACCAGCAGGATGAGCAGTTCTTTGGGTTCACCTCCTGAGCTCACAGTGAACGACCCTTCCCACCTTGTTGCTGGTGGAGTTCCAGCTGCCAGTGGAGTTCAGATCACCACTTGCTGAATGCGCTGGTATATCAGTCATTGCAACATTACACCATTGTGTCTGCTGCTCTCCTGTGTCTGTCAGTGTCCAGGTACCCCTCTGCTGTTGTTCTGTCCTCTTCTATTTCCTGGAATGTGCCCTCTCTGCTTCACACTGGCTAATGTTTCTCTGTCCATTTAAACATATCCTTACCCTATTCTGCCATCTTGATTCTCTATGCCAGTGTCTTTTAATGCTGCCAGTTCGCACACCATTAATCACACACACACAGGTGTGGGAAAGACCTTGCATAGGATTGAGAATGGAACCCAGGGGAGAGAAAATCAACACAAGGTGTAACAAAACTTTTGGAAAAACAGATGGCCTCTGCATGGTGCCCGTGCACCTGGGCAGCAACACACAAGGAGGAGTGCATGGAGTGGCAGACTGAAGAACAGGCTGAGACAGAGAACATTCTCAGAGTTCCGCGAAATGTGCCTGCAAACTCCATGTTCCCAGGGATCAGGGCCAGCGATGGAAACAGTTGTCCACGTAAAGGCACAGCACTGTCACAGTTCATACTGCAGAGGACAAAATCACAACCAAAGTGACACAGGACATACACGAAGACTTAGCAAGCAACAAGACAGCAGTGGAAAGCTCCAGAGCCTACTGGATACCTTGCCACAGGTGTTCTCTGTTCACTGTGACTTTGAACTCACAGTTCTGAATCCAAACTGTTATTTATGTGAGAGGAAGAACAAAGTTTCAGGCACCTGTGGCCTCTGTATTTTAGGAAACTGTTCAAAGATGGGCTCCACCAAAACAGGGAGCCATGTGAGTGAAAGAGACAAAGGACAGTTAGGGTGTGGGAATTTGGCAAGGGAGGTGAGGGGTGCCTGGGGACATGTGGTGCCAAGAGGTCCAGGATGACATCTGCATCTGGCATGGGGGTGGCCCGTGCAGACAGGAGCTGGCCTGTGCAGCCAGGAGCAGGGTGGAGGCTCCAGGGGAGATATGCTGAGGAGAGATCTGGGTGCCTGCAGATGCCTGAGGTCAGAGGAGCAGGGAAGAACACAGAAAAACACTCCCCTAGCTAAAACCACATAGAAACTTCAAAGAGAAATGCACTATCTGCAGGGTAAGTCAGGAAAGGAGAAAAGTAATAAAAGCCAGGCATACACATACATCTTGGCTGTGCAGGACAGCTCCAGGGCCAGTGAGGACAGAAGGTACCCGTGTCAGGCGACTGTGCTGGGTGTAGGGCCCAGGGGAAAGGTGCCATGTGCTGAAGGTCTACAACTGCATCTTACGCCCAACATTCAGAACATGTGGGCAGAGAGACCTTAACATACCATTTCAAGAAGCACAAGTAAACATCAAAATCCAGAGGGATGAGGTAGAGATCTGTTCTTTACAGGCATGTGCAGTTGTGTCTTTTTGAAGATAAAAATCAACTCATCCAGCAAGTTACACAAAGACTATGTACAGAATGTTTTGAAAAGTATACGCGTTAAAGAGGACCTACTGCAGGTCTGAACAGCCACCGGAGCAGTGTCACTGCAGAGTCGGGGGGCGGAGGGGAAGACAGATACACCTAAACGCAGTCACGGCCACCCACCGCTGGTGACGCAGAACCACAGTCCTCTCCTTTCTTTTGTCAATTATATAAACTAAAGGATCGTGGGACTGTGGGTGAAACTATAACAAGCAAAACTGAAAGTGCGTATCTCAGTAGGCATGGCAGTGCTGACAAGGGAGAGAACTGCTGCACACACAATGGTTTGTACATGATTTACACATTATAATGGGTAAGTCTGGGCCCCTCTCCTGGGGCCATGGGCAGGGCTCGGTGGAGAAGGCAGAGCAGGCCCTCCCCTGCTTGCACCTGTGCACTGCTGAGACTTGGTACTTTGAGGAGGCAACAACGCAGAGGTGCGCAATGGAATCATTATCTCATGTCTCCAGGGGTTTCCAAGCACAGCTTTAAGCAAATTCAACATTTCTTTGGGCCCTATTCGCCTGCTGTGGTAGATGTCAAATACAGTCCCTGGGCTGTAGTGGTCAGTTACCATTAGGTATGCTCAGGGGATCAGTTCCAGGATCCTCTCCCGTCCCTAAGAAAGCTCAACCCTCACAAACAACGATGTGGCAGTAGGCATTGGAAGAACAATCAAGGCACCCGTATCCCATATGACAGAGTTCCTGGTGTCAATTCAGGGCATCACTTCTGATTCCACCTTCATGTTCACGTACATCCTGGGAGGCCAGGTACACGCAAAGTGCCTACCAGCACAGGAGACCCAAAATAAATTCCAGGCTTCTGGCTTTGACCTACCTCAGCCCTGACTGCTGTGGGCATGTGGGAGGGAGCTGGCAGACAGAGCTCTCAGTCTCATCTCTGCTTTCCAAATATATAAATAAAATAGTAAAGAAGTATGTAATCTTCCCTGTACTTTAAATATTGAACACATCATACATGCTATGTAAATAGTTTACTACACTGTATTGTTTTTGCTTTTTAAATATTTCCCACTAGAGGCTGGTTGAGTTTACGGATGGCAACCCATTAAGTAAGGAAACTGACGAGGCCCCACAAAAAAGGCCTGTGTGTGTACAAGGCCCCCAGGAGCAGAAACACATGGTTCCCCAACCTCTGTGTGCAAGAGGGAAAAAAAAAAGTGAGGCATATTGCTAGATGTGCCTTCTAAAATTAGGCCTAAAATGGAGGAAATTATACTGAAGCCTAAAAATTAGCAATTGCATTTTAGAGATATTAAGATTGTCTTAAGTTATGTAAAGGTCTGTAAAATTTTCAACAACAGAAGTAGAATGGCATGTTAGGAAATCTTTATGTTAAATAAGCTTAGTGTTACATACAATTTGCAGAGAATTTGCTTATGCAACATGCTGTTCTAAGTGACCACTAGGTGGCAGCAAAGGCTGTATTTGGTCACAAACCCAACGCTGAATCAGCCTGCCAGGTCTCAGCACAGACAGGCCTGCCCTGGGGTTGGCCTTGTGCCAGGGACCTACGCTCACATGCAGTGGTGTGGGTGCTGCCCATTGTGGGAGGCCTCTGTCCACGGGCTATGATGAACTGTACCTTTCCAGACACAAGCAGATCAGAAGGTATTACTGCTACTATCACAGCAAAAAACTGCTCACTCCCAGCCTCGTCTTGGCTACACAGAGATTTTAGTCCAGAAAAGTACTTACTGTTAGAACTTAAACTCTAAAAACAGTCTTTCAACAAGATCAGAACACTAACAATCTATGGAATGATGAGAGTATCTGATAAAATGCTGATATTCTCCTCTGGTCTCACTCAACATTTTAACGGATTTTTAAAAAGATTTATTTATTTTTATTATAAAGTCAGATGTACAGAGAGGAGGAAAGGCAGAATGGAAAGATCTTCCACGCAATGATTCACTCCCCAAGTGATTGCAATGGTAGGAGCTGAGCCGACCCAAAGCCAGGAGAGCCAGGAATTTCTTCCAGGTCTCCCACATGGGTACAGGGTCCCAAGGCTTTGGGCCATCCTGACTGCTTTCCCAGGCCACAAACAGGGAGTCAGATGGGAAGTGGGGCTGCTGGGATTAGAACCAGTGCCTATGTGGGATCCTAGCACGTTCAAGGTGAGGATTTTAGCTGCTAGGCAACCTCACCAGGCCATTAACTGATTTTTAAAAAAATATTCTATCATGAAGTTCTGCTTGCCCAGTGGTTCCAGTCAACCAGCTCAGAGGATCACTTAACTCCCTAGGTTTTAACGGTTACTTCCTGTCATTCAAATCCCAGGCTCAGGCAGTGCAGCAACTCCCCTGCTCCAGATGCTGACAGTTTCCAGACAGCCGGCTCCCTCAGGGAGGAGGGGGTGTGGGGGTCCTCATGATCCCAGAAACTCATGATGCAGTATAATTTAAGAGTTCTCAGGAAACTGCATCGCTTGAGATATGATTTCTGATTTTCTCCCAACTTAAATCTAAATTCCTTGCCAGTCAAAAACAAAACTTTAGGGGCAAGGTCTAGCTGTTAACTCTAGTTAAGAGAGCTTCATCCTCCGCTGCAGAACCTGGCTTCAGTTCCTGGCTCTGGTTCCACAGCTGCTGCGAGTGCAGACCCAGGGAGGCAGTAGTGGTGCTTCCGTGCCTGAGCTCCCACTAGAACTGGATTCAGCAACCCAGCTTAGGCCTGTCCGGCCTCCACCCTGGTCATGATGGGTATTTAAGTGAATCAGTAGATGGGCACTCCATTTCTATCTATCTCTAATAATTTTTTAATGGGATTTCAAACATGACAAAATATTAGTAGGAAGTAAATTTGGTTTAAATGGTACTTGAGAGCTCTGTCACATTCTTATAATTTTTCTACACTTGAAATTCAAAATGGAAAATTAACAAGCAAGAAGTATGACTGCAATCTAACGCTAAGCAGACAGCAAGAGCTGAGCTCCTCAACCCAGCACCTGAGGAGCTGAGGAGCCAGCACAGGCCTGCAAACCAGGTGCCCACAACTAGGTACTAATCAGAATATTTCCAAGCACAGCAGGGTCCCCTTGTTACCTGGATTTTCAGCACTGACACATTTTTAAGAAAACATTATATCCTTTTGTATCTAAAGGATTATGAAGCCAATGGATCTTGAATTTACCCTGTGAATGATCCCAGCAGAGTGCAGATGTTTGATGCCACAAAGCATCTGGTAAAGCAGGTAGGACATTCTCTCATGGTCCAACTCCATGTGAATCACCTGACATAAGTTAGCATCCATTAATTCCATCACCAGATACCTGCGCAACAAGGAAACAGTTGTGAACCACAAAATTCCCAGAATGTTAATAAAACAACAATAGTTACAATCACTACACTGCAAAAAAAGATAACTTTAGTTTCTCTAGACTTATACAAGGTATCTGGAAAAGAAACAAATTTGCAACAGAACTTTGTGAAATTTTCCCTAAGAACATACAATGAGCTAACTTACCCAAGGTCTTGCAAGCTAAAAACAATTTTGATATCATGGTAAACAGGGTTTCCCACACTCAAGCTGTCCTTCCTAGACCTTGCTGTCCCAAGGGGCTCCTGGTAACAAATGCACTGCTCTGCAGGGGAGGATGGTAACAGGCAGAATGTGCAGCCGTGGGGGGCTGTGAAACGTGGGAAATCTCCATACCATCATTCAATTTTGTAGTTGTGAAACTACAAACCTGCTCTAAAAACTGAAGTCTGATCTTTACAGAGCATACATCAGCAAAAGAAAACTTCTGACCTCACTTCCCCACCAGTTATCACCCCATTTTCTAGCTCCGTTTGAAAGCAAAGCTCCCCAGATGTGTCTGGACTCAACACCTCAAGCCTTGCTTCCTTTTTCTTCTGAATGCCGCTTGCTCAGGCTGTGCTCCCACACTGTGCTGAACTCCCCTCTTTGAGGCCACTGATGCCTTCCACAGGGGGCTTCTCAACTGCAATCACCATGTGAGCTGCTTTCTTTTCATTGATCTGTATGTGTACCAACTGATTCCAGCTCTCTGGGGAACCCTCACATGCTTCCATATTTAAACATGCAGCCTGGCTCCTGACTCCCACTGGCCCAGCCTGACTTTTAGTCTGTGGGCTCCTGGAGCCTGAACCTCTGTCTTGATTGTGTTTGTTGCCTGTCTCCCCAACATGCCTAGCAGATTCTAACAGGGAGTCTGCAATTCTTTCTTAAAGATTTATTTTTATTATTTTTTTATTGGAAAGGCGAATATACAGAGAGGAGAGACAGAGAGGAAGATCTTCCGTCCGATGATTCACTCCCCAAGTGAGCACAACGGGCCGATGCTATGCCAATCTGAAGCCAGGAGCCTCTTCCGGGTCTCCCACGCGGGTGCAGGTTCCCAAAGCTTTGGGCCATCCTCGACTGCTTTCCCGGGCCACAGGCAGGGAGCTGGAAGGGAAGGGGGGCTGCCGGGATTAGAACCAGCGCCCATATGGGATCCCGGGCGTGCAAGGCGAGGACCTTTAACCACTTGCGCCACCGCGCCGGGCCTGAGTCTGCAATTCTTAAAATCAAAGGGATGCTTGCCTGTGTTGGCCAGTACCATGGTCAATCCAAGAATGGAAGACGTTTTACTGGTTGGATATACCAATAAACTCTGTATTTTGTCTTACAGTCAGTGAGGTAACTCCATTGAAGACTCTGGAACATATTACTCAATTATATCATTTCGAATAATTCCTATGAAAGCATAAAGGTCACCATCTTGGCTCTCAGGGCCAAGAGAAAGGATTCCTGCTACTCTGGAGAATTATTTCCAGTGAAGCAGATAATCCTGTTACTCCTCTCGTTAGATCTTCCTGTTGTTCTAACTAAAATATATGAGAAAAACTACAGAAGACTACTTCTGTTTATGGTTTGGAGGTTCACGGCCCAAAGTCAGGGACCCACTGTTTCAGGCAGCTCTGAGCCAGGGAGCAGCCACCAGGGCAGGTCAGGGACCCACCTGCTCAGGCAGTGCTGAGCCAGTGAGCAGCCACCAGGCCACGTCAGGGACCCACCTGCTCAGGCAGCGCTGAGCCAGGGAGCAGCCACCAGGCCACGTCAGGGACCCACCTGCTCAGGCAGCGCTGAGCCAGGGAGCAGCCACCAGGCCCCCCTCGCAGAGGCTATACCCCAACAACCTAGTGTGATTTGCTTCCTGTCTACTGGCCCACCTTCAGACCCCGTGATGTGATTAAGTTCCATCTTTTACTCACTCACAGACAAATCAGAAGGTCAAGATTTTAACACATGAACCTTGGGAGGACATTCAAATTATTTTTGAAACTGTAACACCCTCAAGGCACAAATAACTATAAATATCCAATTTTTCAAATATTTCTTTCACAAAGAAAAGTGTCTATATAATTAAAATGTACTGTCACCTACAGTTCCTTCTTTTTCCTAAATTTGGTGTTTTTGATGCATAGTGCATTACTGAATAAAGTGGTACTTACACATCTTGAAATTCTTCTAGAGTTTTTTGTGGTGTAAATACATTTAACAAACTAATTATCTGAAAAGAAAAGATAAATTATATCTCAGTATGTCAGACGACTCTGCTTGATTATAAAAAATTAAGCTTGGCATTAGGATATATTAAAGCTGGGAAAACAAAGTAGAACTCTGTGTTTCCTTTTACGATTTTTATTGCTTTTACCAAAACATTTTCTTACATACCTTTTGAAAACAATTATACATCAACTGAAAACACTTTCATTGAAAGTACTTTTAATCAAATCACTTGTGTATATCTCTAGTAATTTAGATTATTATTGCTGAATTCAAACATGAGAATACTTCAAAAAGTTCATGGAACATAGAAATAAAAGATTCTATTTTGGTATAAAATTTTTGAAATCCATGCATCTTTTTATAAACTTAATTTTACATAAATTTTTTGAAGACCCTCTATTACGCAAGGAATTCAATATTTTCCTTGTAGCAAAATCAACTTATCTTTTAATTCCAGTTTCCACCAATTTGCTGAAGTGGTCTTATATAAAATGTCTTCTGGGAGAAATTATGGGTTGAAAAATGATAAGCCATACATCAATTCAGAAGACCTAAATACTATGTACAAACTCCTACAACTTCTGCATTACAAAGACTAAGCTCAAATGTCTCATAACTTCATAGATTTACTTACAGAGGGCAACAGAGCTGGCCCCAGCACAGGCTCCGTCTGGCTGCTGACAATGAGTCCACTCTCCTAAGCACACACACACCCTCAGCCCCTTCAAATGATGAAGGGAAAGACCAACATTGAGTACGCTCTGTGACCAGCTGCTCACAGCAAAAAAACTACAAAACTACCTTCTCACTGCTATCGCCATCCCAAGATAAACTCAAAACAGAACACAGACTTAAATCTAAAGCATTAAGCTACAGAATATTGACTATGAAAAAACATGAACACAATCCTAATAAATAAAAGCCTCTTCTAGCCATGGCAGGAAATCAAAGAGATTTTACATTAAACAAAACTAAAAATAACCTTTTAAAAAAAAACAGTGTGGCAGAAACTACATACATAATGTGTAATGTAAAAAAAAAAAAGAGGCATCATGAGTTTTAAAATCTAAAATCTGTAAATGATTAAGAATGAGACTGACAATCCAAGAGAAAAATGGACAAAAGGTATGAAAAGCAAATTCTCAATAAATTACTACTAAGCGTCTGGAAAGAAATCAACCTCACAAGTATCATTTGCCATCTATCAGGTTCGTAAAAAATTTTTTAAAAATCAATAATATGCAGTACAAGGAAATCTTTTATGAAAGAGAGCCTCAGATACTCTTAATGGAAGTGTGAAACGGACAGCTTTGCTTAAGTCACTTTGTCAGCATATATTAAAACCAGTCGGTGCCTGCCCGCTGACCCAGCAATCTTGAGACAAGCGTGAATTTCTGTACTGTTCATTACAGTATTAGCCAGAACAGAGATAAAATGAACAAATCTACTGAACAGCAGAAGATTTAATAGTCAGTCATGTGCATGCTACGCTGCTACCTAGAACTGCTTCGCTGTGATGATCAGAGCACAGGCATACAGCAGACATCCTCCTGTGCCACGGGAAGGACCCTGGGACTGAGCTCACTGAGACACCACTGCAAGCGAGCATAAGAACACTACCAACACGGCCATGCCAGTGATGCGTGGGTGGTGGGTTCTGAGATTTTTCTTCTTTCTTGTTTATATGGCTTGAGTGTTTTAAAAAAATAATCACATCTTCTAGAGACTTGAAAAAAAATTTAAGAAATGTAAAATGTTAAAACTATACCACAGACTCAAAATAAGCAATAGTTTTGTATTTAATATCCCTTTACCAGGAAGATTCAGCAGAAAGGTAAAAACAAAGGGAATGGGCTTAGTGTAACCTCAAATCTGTTTTCTCTTCCTAAAAGGGATCCCATGGGTTGACCTTGGGAGTCCCTTCCAGTTTCATGGTTTCAACCCCAGTGATGCTCACAGACACCAGCAGGGACATATAGGATGCTTCGCTAGGGCTTCAATCCCAAGAACATATTGCTTCTCTTAAAATTCACTGCTTTCATTTCTGTGGAGATGCACAGTACAGCAATCCATAATGCCACACCAGAAAAGAATGTGTATTTATAACTGAAATGTCTGTAAGGAAAAAAGCTACCAAATAATATTCTCTCTCTCTCACACACACACACACACACACACAAATGTTGCTCCTGCTCCTGTGAAGAGAACCAGAAAGTGAACTCCAAATGGATACAGGATGAACTGGCCTTTCCTTCAGCCGGGAGACCTGGACTCCTGTGTGGATCACGACGCCTCAGTAACATCCACTGTGCCAAGGCCAACGAAGACTTCCATCAGTAAAACAATTGTTTTACTAGTCATTTCAGGATCAGTTTGCCTTGCGTCTGAATTCAGACCATCTCCAAACACGTTTGAAAACCGTTATCACCGACAACATCAAAGCATGCAGAGGAACTTACGTTTTTATGATTGACACACTTTAATAGGACAAGTTCTCGGTAAGCTCTCTTTGCATGAGTTTGATTCTGAAAAGGACGGCTTAATTTCTTGACTGCAACATTTATCCCAAGAACTGTATCAAAAGCAGCACTACAAATTAGGAAACAGAATAAGCAAGCTATTAGAACGGTCCTGGAGAAAACAGAAATGCAGAATATACATTCAGTGAATGTTTTCTGAAGCACAAGGGGTTCTCCTCTACAGGTAGAGAGCGTGGAATCGGCTGAGTAAGACTATGGGACAGGCTAAGTCCTTGCAGAGACAACGACCCTGGTGCAGCAGCACACCCCTTGTGCACAGGGATCTTTAACACATTTAACTCCCACCCTGTTAACTGAGATTAGCATTTCTGAGCTAGGTAATTTCAAACAAAGCATGTAAGGCTGGTCAAGACAGAAAATCTTCAGTTTAAACATGTCCATAAGTTGAATAAACAAAGTCCCCATCATCACAGATTAGAGATAAAAATGCAGTTTGAAATACCATAGCTGAGGAAATGCCCAGGGCCCTGGTGATGAGGGGCTGGTCTGCTCCGGACCCGGCATGTCTCCCAGGCTTCAGCCTGGAACAGGAGGGGCCACAGGAGCCAGTTATGTCACCGACCTGGTGGGATTCCAGCTGACCAATGGCATACCTGAATGGACATTCCTTACATAGTTGGGGCACAGACAGCCCCTCTGGCTGCCCATGTGTCTAGAGGGGTATACAACTCCTCCACACTTATCTCAGTTGCCCTTTTCGCCTCCCTCTTCCTTCCCCTCTGAGCGAAGGGGGCCCAGGAGCGGATTTTCCAATAAAGCTTCCATTACAGCTTTGAACAACTTGCCGATATTATTCCACCAGCGGGCGGGCGGTTGGTGGTCATCATCTAACAATCTCGTTCATGAGAAGATAATCCTGAGTCTGACAGTGCTTTCCCAGTCAAAAAGATTTAGAGTAAAAGCCAGAATCTCAGCCCGTGACAAGTCCTCACGATACCAAACGCCCGAGGTAAGCAGCGGTTATCTGTGAAATCCCTGAAGGGACAAGAGAGTCCAAAAGCTGGATTTCAGGGTCTCTCAATTCCTTCTGGATGGGCGCTCACTTTCCTCCAGGAAACAGACATGAAAACCTGCCCAGCCGGATCGCATGCTTCCTTTGTCTGTTCCTCAGGGGTTCACAGTGGCTGAAGGCCACCTCCGAATCTACAGGCCATTTAAAATCAGCCTTCACTTAATTAGTGTCTGGGTTCCTGGGGTCACTTCCTAACGCCAAAGAATCAACAGCTTTTGCTTTACTTAGTTTCTTCCTTTATTGACTTCAGAAGTTAGCTGCTTACTCTCAAATATGGAAAGTGAGGAATAAACCATTTAAAATTCTCAACACCTCTCAATTTTCTGTTCTCACATTCTTCAGGTTTTCTTCACAGTTTTCAACAGCATGCCTAAAGCTTCTCTTTGCATCAGTGTTCAGAGGAATCCCCTGCCACCCCAGCAGCAAACCAAGACTCTTACTGTCACCCTTCCGCTCTCAATCTCCTCTTTTCCTCCATATCTCTGTCTCAGATAGTCAAGTATGAGAACCCGTTTATTTTGTATTTATTATTCGGTCTTTTGTGTTTTTTTCAGGGATGTGTGTTTGAACGCCGAAAACCATGAGACAGAGAAAGCATGTACGTGAGAGACAGCGAGCACAAACACATTACTGCCTTCACTGTTTGCAACACTGGGGCGCCTTCTCCATGCCAGACAGCCTGCGCTGCCACTCTCCTAGGAGGAGACTACCGCCAGCAGCAACAGCAAATGGAATCTCTTTGATTACATTCTAGCATTGCTCAACATCACGTCTTTCAGAAAAAAAAAGAAAAAATTATTTATTTCTTTGATTTGAAAAGTCATAGTTCCAGACAGAGGGACAGAAACACAAGATCTTCCATCTACCGGCCCACTCCCCAAATAGCCACAACAGCCAGAGCTGAGTTACGCTGAAGCCCAAATCCAGAAGTTTCACTGGGGTCTCCCATGTTAGCGGCAAGGGTCCAAGCATGAGGGCCATCCTCTTGCAAACCTTTTCCCTGGGGCTCTCCAAGCCCACGACACAGCTATTACCTGGGATTCTTCCCACTGGCCTTGGCTTCATGTGAACATGTCCGGTTATTATTTTCCTGAACAGTGGGGGTGCATTCTCCAGGAATCCCTTAAGAAAAAGTTGAAGCTTCTATTCTCACCATAAATGGACAGTTTGTCTTGTGGGGGGAAAGGCCCTGCCCCACTGAGCATGGGTCCAGTGCAAGTCATACTTTACTTTCATTTCACTCCTCAGCCCCAGGCCTGATCACGCAGAGCCAAAGTCCTCTCCCACTCTCAAATAAACACTGGTGCTCCTTACACACTATGCTCAGGTCACTTCTGACTTTCACGATAGCCCCTTTCTTACTTTTTCCAACCAAAATGCATTCTTGAGTTCCCATAGTTTTTGCATGGTTTCTGAGATTTCCTGTATCTGGTGTCTTTTGCCAGACACTATGAGGGGTACCCACTGTTGTTGCATGAGGCTCCGTGATTCTTTGCACAGACCACAGACACTGACTGGCATTTTGATTGCTTTTAGTGTTTAGGTGATTATAAAAATCACTGTCATAAATGTTCTACTAGCTCTATGTCCCCAGGCAGGTAGGTTCTCATGGATACACAGCTCGTACCAGGAACCCACGCATTCTATTTTATTAGGTGTCCAACTGTTCCAAACTGGTTCATTCCGTTTCTAAATTCACCAGCAGTGCTTATGGAGGCCACATCCTTCTAAGGGCCATGTCACATCCTTACCAACACTTACCAACCAGCGAGAGTGATTTCACATCCTCACTAATACTTGGCATTGTTAAGTTGAGCTTTTAACTGCTGTACTACACACACATCTACAGTTCATTGTGGTTTTAGTCTTTATTTCCTTAAAGAATAATGACATTGAACACCTTTTCTTATGTTCACTTGCTATTTGTATCCTCTTTTGCGATGAAGTACTTTCTATATGACATTGAATCTTTATCTTACTGGAGTTCTTCATATATGTTGCATAAATGTATAAGTCAATTAATTTTTAATTTATGGATTTATTTAGTTGAAAGCAGAATCACATAGAGATAGAGAAACCCTCCATCTGCTGGCTCACCCCCGCAAATGGCTGAAACAGAAAGGTCTGGGTCAGGCAAAAGTCAGAAGCCACACACTGTACCTGGATCTTCATCATGCGTGGCAGGGATTGAAATACTTGGGCCATCACCTACGGACTTCCCAGGGGCATCAGCAGTAAGCTGGATCCAAAGTAGAGCAGCCAGGTTTGAACTGGCACACCGAGATGCCAGCACTGAAAGGGGCAGCTTAACCCGCTGTGCCACAACTCTGGCTACTATATAAGTCATATGCTTGGTCTTTTGTTTCTTCATGACAGTCTTTTTATAATTTTAAATAAATAGGCAAACTTACTCTTAAGATAATGGTATCACTCTATTATGATGAAGATCTTTTCTATCCTGTTTAAAGTCCTTCCTTACCTCCAAAATCATAAAGTCTTCTATACTATTTTCAACAGGTTTTCTCTACACATCTCTACACATTTGGAGGAGGTTAGCTGAGACTGCTTTGTGCATAAAATGTGGGACTGGGTCCGATTTCGCCTTTTCCCATGTGAATGCTCCCCCACCACTCTGTAAGGCTCCTAAGGCTCGGACTTGAGTTAGGAGCCCTCAAGGGCCCATGTGTTAAAGGTTTGGTCCCCAAAGTGGCATTGCTGGAAAGTGTTGCAATCTTTATGAGCAGGACCCAGCAGCCATTCCTTAGCTGACTGGGTATGTATGCCAAGGGGTGACCTCCCAAGTTCTCAGAAAAGGGTGTTAAAGAAAGCCTGCACTGAGTTTACCCAGCCCTCCCTGCTTCCTGGCCACCACGTGATTCTTCCTTTGTGCAAGCTCTGCCCCTGCTGTGTACTGCCTCGCAGGAACCAAACCAGCAAGGGCTGCCTGGTCTCAGACCTGAACTGCCCCAACTGTGAAATGACTCTATCATTTATCTTTACCAAGCTAGTAGCCTCAGGTTTTCCGTTGTAGTTACAAAAAAACTAACACAAGGCCACCTCTATCTAAAATCATAAGCTCATCCCAAGTATGTGGTTGTGTGTGTGACTTTCCTGGATTGCACCAGTCTGCTGCCTCTCCCTGCACCCACACACATCTTTATTAGCAAGGTTTGGATAATTCTTCACATCCTGGAAGATGGCAGCATTACTGTGCTTGCCACAGCCCCAAGAGCATCAATGGTGATTTTAAAACATGACAATAATCAAAGGAACTTCCATTCAGATTAAGTGTAAAATAGCAATATTTTAATAAGAAATTATATAAAAGCCCTATTTTGTTATCAAAATAGTATCTAGTCCATTACTGAGCTTATTTTAGGGAAAGTAAGTTATTCTATTTTATTTTATTTGTAAATGGCAATGTGCCATTACCAGATTATTTTCCAGTCCTACAGGTGGACACAACAGAGGAAGAAAGGCTAATTTCACTTATACTTTCTCAATTAGAAATCTGAGAAAATATCATAAGGTCAAATATCAGTTACAATTATTAAAATTAACCTCAACACAATAATTGTCTTGAAATACATACAGTTGAGAACCTTCAAACTGGTATTTAATGAGTATTTATTTACTTATTATTTCCAAGATTGTAAACAAAGGTTAGGTCAGAATCCGGTCACACCAAAAAAGTCCTGGACAAGCCTTCTGCAGAATGAGCAATGAGTGCCAGAAGTGGGCTTTGCTTCTAGACCTACCCCAAGTTCCCACCAGACAGAAAAGGTTAGAGACATTTCCTAGTTTGAACCGGCCATGGACTTTAAAAGCTCCTCTTTGCACAATGGCTTTGAGTACTCACACAACACGTCTTCACCTACAAGAGGGCACCACCACTGTTTCAGATACAAACCAGGTGTTCCCTCCACACAGCCCATCTTTCTTTTAGCTCCAGGGCCTTTACCCACTTGAGACGAAGAGGTACCTGTTCCCTGATCACCACCTCTACAGCAGACACCAACTGAAGCCACTGGTGAAGGTGGTCTAAGCTCAATATCCCCATGGGAAAATATAAACTCCCCTATCAACACACCCGAATTCTCCTTCACCTTTAGTCCTGCTGCCCACCGGCTGTGAACAGCACATGTCAAGATTCATCATCATCTTCTTTCAGAGGCAAAGGTAAAAGGGATAAAAAGCTTAGAGACATGTTGATAACTGCAGTCTAGAAAAGGCATGAAAACTTTACCCGTAGCTGGCCAGTGACTTTGCGGCAGCTGGCTGTCTTACCATGTAAGTTACAAAGGGTCAGGGTCAGAGTAACGGCTCTGATGTCTGGGCTGGACACATGGCTGAACTGAGACACCAGGGAGAGATAGCCAGCCCAACCCCTCACACATCCCTTCCTGGCTAATTCATGGAGTGACAATGTCATTGACTGGCCTCACCCTGACAGTGAACGGCAAAGGCACTGCAATGCTGGTGCCTAGAAATGAATAAGAGTGATTGGGAATAAAAGGGGAGGGGTGACTATGATGAAGAAATGAAATAAAACTCCAAATTTCTGTTATAACTCTGTTATAATTTTATTATACCTATTACTCAGAAATCATAATGGCAACCAGGAATGAAAAGAAAATAAAGAAACAAAGAAACAGACAAAGCAAAACTGTATCCTATTTAAATTTATGCAACCTTCTAAGAATGTGAGTTGTCTCCTATATAACCTGACTACTTTTAACTAGAACAAGAGGTCGAGTCAATGTAGCTTATAAGCCTTTATCAGAGCTTTTTTTTTTAATCATCAGTGTTTCTAAATTCTGATACAGTTTTATGAAAAAATTCAATGCATGCTATTAAACAGGCCACACTTACCAAACAATTCCTTGAGCTCCAGAACCAATTGGTTTCAACTGCTGGTAACGTTTTAGGACAGTGAAGGTTGAGTCTGCCACTTGCACGCTGTAAAACTGACCGTCACATTTACTGTCACTCATGATGTAGTGTCATACAGTGTTCCCAAGTGCTGGCACCGTTGTCAGGTTCCTTAAACAAGAAATGAGATGAATACACATTCTTACGAAATTATACATACATCCCTCACTTAACAGTCTGAAACTTATTAGCCCATGAGACAGTGTGACTGTAAGTGAATAAAAGTTCAGTTCGGCTATATTCTGACCTTAAAGAAAACACACAAAAACATGCAGAGATGTTTCACCAGTACACAGCCATTGTAAACAGAAGGAGTTTCGAGGCCTTGCAAGATCCCATCAATAGATTGGATTAGAAAAGAATCTCTACATTTTGTCATAATCCTGATAGTGGCAGGGTGAACCTTAGCAGTTTTACTGCCTGTGGGCCTACTTTCTGCCTGGTGTCTAGACCAAAGATGGGGCATTGTTTCTATAACTAGCAACAAGAAGCAAACGGACAAGCTTTTTACTGCATCCAGATCTTTCCCAAGTGATAAACCAGAAAGCATACTTCACCAGCCACAGTGACAGGCCTCCAGAGCACTGGTGACACTGGTGTGCTGTGCACAACCGTGGATGTGCACCTGTTTCAAAGGAGAGTTCAGACTGGCAGAGAACAGCAGTCAACATGGACACTGTGATGTTTATTCACCTATGCACAAACTGGGAGCCTCCCAAGAGGCATTTCTGTGCTTTAGGCAGGAGCACAATTTCATACAGAAAAGAAGCAGAAAGGAACAGGGGGTCAGCTACATTTCCTTGGTTTCCTGGCTTTTGCCTGATGACACTTATTTAACTGTGGGTCTGTTAAAAAATATTAAAAACAAAAAAGAATAAAATCATGCAGGCAATTGTTCTATGCTGTAAAAACACAAAATCTATACTTTATTTTACAAGTCCATCAAACTCCTTCCTTTTTCCTATTGTCTATATAATGTGTACTTAATGAATCATAGTGGTGATTTCTATTTAAATTCCATGCTGTCTAGGACTTCTCTTAAACATGAAGGTAAACTGATTTAATAAGCAGCCTCAATAAAAATTTCAAGTCAAAATAATAACTGTTCCAAGTAATCACTGCTGCTTGCTCTGTCACTGTGCTCAGGTAAGTGGCTGAACTGCAAGTTGTACTCAGCCAGCAGCTACTGGAGCCTCTGGCCAGGGTGTCCCTCTAGGGATGTCACACCCACGAGATGCTGGCCAGTGTGACTGCTCACCCAAGCTGATCACTCCTGTTGCTCTGGAGCGGCTGATGACTGCCAGGCCACCCTGTCCTGGAGGGGACTCAGGGCTGCCCAAGGCCAGCAGGGGACTGCCCGGCCAGGCCACCCTGTCCTAAACAGGACTCAGCAGCTCTAGGACAAGCAGGTCTGATTGCTCACCATGCTCATCACATGGCAAGGACATAGACGAGCATGCAACAATCTCTGCCAATCTGATTTGTACTACAACATTTAATAACTCCCACAACACTGCCCATGGAACTGACACCTGAAGAAACAACCTTTCTGAAATTGTATTAATGTAAACAAATGTCATATACTTCATATATAGCTTTTAAGATTATGATTCTTCCAACCCTACCCTTTTACCTTTCCTCCTCCTTCCCTATTTGTTAAAATTTTTACAATGATACACTTTCAGTATATTTTATAATCACACACTTAATCCTGCACTAAATAAAAATTCAACAAGCAGTAAGTAGGAAAACCACTGGGACAGCCTTCACTACAGATCCACTCACTGCCTGTCAGAGACTGAAACAGTTCAACTCGACATGCCTGATGCACTTGTCCCTCAGAGTGGTAAAAGGTAAGAAGCCATGAGCAGCCGGGAGCCAACCGTGAAGTGACAGACAAGCCATGAACACCTAGGAGTCAATCTTGAAGTAACAGATAAGGCACCACGTGGGGGAGAAGTGCAAGGACCAAGTATTTCATGTGTATAATCGGGGAAGGGCCATAAGTAAAATGTAAATGGAGAAGGCAGCATCCACCCTGCTCTGCTGGAGCCGCACAGTAGACACAGGCCTCAAACTGCTCATGTAGTCAGTCTGGGGTTCCACTGGATGCAAGAGCGACAGGACTGGACACATTTAGCAACAAGGTATAGGGCAGGCACCCACAGCAACCAATACCACAGGGGAGCTGCTCCTTCGCTAGCTATAAATATGGTACCTGCTGCAGACAGGGTCCATGCCAGAATCCTGGGCCTGCCCTGGGAGCATTTTCAAAGTCCAGGCAGTGGGCACACTCAGGAGGAGCCATGAAATAAGTAGGGTCCTAATCCCAGGTGCAGGACAAGAAACTGCATGGACAGAGACGTGGAGGCGCATCCTGACAGCAATGAGTCATATGAGATCTGCTGCAGCCAGATGGTGGGGCAGTATGCCACAGGAGCAAAAAGGAGGCCAGATCTCCATAGGCTGTGGAGGTCATCAAAGCGCCAGAGGCACACAATCAGCTAGCTTTTCACACATAGTTCTGGGGAGGTTGAGATGGGATAGATTAGAGAGGCCAGGACTGAAAAGAAGGTCCACGTGATAATCGCAGGAGGGTGACAGGCAAAAAAGTAATGAAAAGCATGAATTCAAAGCAGGATGCGTGTGACCTGCTGGACTGGAGGTGAAGAGGATGAGGCTGCAAGAGGCAGGCGGCACAGGCCGTAGGTTTCCATTGTCTTTGGCTAGTGTGTGCCATGCACACTGCTGACGACCTCCACAATCTGTTCTTCCTTGCTCACTTCAGTGACAGAAGCCTCCTGTCCCTGCGGAATATGAGTCTGGCAGCCGTCCTGGTAGCCAGGTACAGCCAGATGACCAATTCTGGCCAACAGGAAGAGCAAGATGATGGAGGCAACATCTGGGTCAGTTTTTAGAGAAAGTTACCTGCACTCCCATCTACTCCTCCTCCGGCTGTCAGGTGCCCACCAGCTCATTCCTGAATGACCTGGGGGTACAGAGCTGCCCCCACGCTGGGACCAGCACCTGTCAACTTCAACCTTCAGAGCACTGCTGGACTCCACCACAGCTGCTAGCAGCCTAACTGACCTGTTGACAGGCCACCTGCTGTGAATTTCACAAGCACATTCAATCACAATGGCTTGTTGAGAAATGAATACAATTTTACCTCAGGACTTAAAATAATTTCAAAATTACGTTGCCCTTATTAGAGTAAAAAATGTCAGATAAGAGGGAATGTGTCAAAGCCACCCTCCCTAATCAGTTTAGGCGTCATCACAACAGATCAGAGGACCTTGTGGCTGCCTAGGAAAGCATGGGGGCATGGCGCAATGGCCTAGTGCCAGGATCTCATATGGCACAGGTTCTAACCCCGGTGGCTCCACTTCCCATCCAGCTCCCTGCTCGTGGGCTGGGAAAGCAGTCGAGGACAGCCCAAAGCCTTGGGTTTCTGTGTGGAAGGCCTAGAGGAAGTTCCTGGATCCGGGCTTCGGATCAGTGCAGCACTGGCCGTTGTGGTCACTTGGGGAGTCAATCATTGGACGGAAGATATTCCTCTCTGTCTCTCCTCCTCTCTGTATATCTGACTTTGCAATAAAAATAAACAAATCTTTAAAAAAAAAAAGCATGGGATGTAGTTCTGGACAAATAAACTTTGTCAGGGTTATTATCAAAACACATCAACTGGGACTGGGAAAGCAAACATGCTTACAAACCGGCAAGTCTGAGCATTCTTCACTCAACTGCATTGGTAACACGAGGCACTGACTGCCTCCACTGCCCTCACAGGTGGGTGCTGCAGCCCCACCACTTAGTCCTGGTCAGTGCCCACTGTGCTGTACTACACCACAGCTTTGGCAGGTCTCCTCTCCCTAGGTCAAGAGCCCCCCAAAAGCATGGAGGCAAAAGTATGAGCAAGGGCAGGGAGAGAACGGTATAGAAGAAGGCTTCTTGGGGGAGGCTAGTCTGGAGCTCAAAGCATGAGGAAGCAAGTGCTTTCACACAGGCTGGCAAGAACTGTGAACTGCTAAAACACACTGGGGAAAGAAGAAGAGCAACAGCTAACAAAAACACAGGAGTCCTTGCCTGAAAACTACAAATCTACAAGTGGACCTCAGAAGTACATGTCATGCACCTTCAAGGATGTCCATGCAAGGATGCTTATAGTACTCCTCTTAACAGCCCAAAACTGTAACAATCAAACACATATCCTGGGTCAGCTGATAAGATGATGGAAGGCAATATAAATGTGCTAAAGTCATTAAATAAAGTGCAGAAATCCTGCAGGCTCATCTTGGAGGATAGTTGAGATGCATAAAAGAGAGAAGGCAAGTTGTGAAACAGTGTATACAACAATTCCAGTTTACCTAAAAAATCCCCACACAGGGCCCGGCGGTGTGGCCTAACGGCTAAAGTCCTCACCTTGAACGGGCCGGGATCCCATATGGGCACCGGTTCTAATTCCGGCAGCTCCACTTCCCATCCAGCTCCCTGCTTGTTGACTGGGAAAGCAGTCGAGGACGGCCCAAAGCTTTGGGACTCTGCACCTGTGTGGGAGACCCAGAAGAAGTTCCTGGATCCTGGCTTCAGATCGGCATAGCATCGGCCATTGCACTCACTTGGGGAGTGAATCATTGGACAGAAGATCTTCCTCTCTGTCTCTCCTCCTCTCTGTATATCTGACTTTCCAATAAATAAATAAATCTTCTAAAAATAAATAAATAGTTTAAAAATACCCACACAGCCTATGTCAGGAAGCCCAGAGAAACAGCAGGAAACGAGAAACTTTCACTCTTCCTAATGTCACTTTCTGTTCCATTTTTTTTAAGCTATACACATATTTCATATTCAAAAACAAAACAAAACAAAAAAAGGACTAAAAGGTGTTCATGAAAGCTGCTGGACTACAGTTATTACTGAAAGCTCAGAATGCCCATTCTAACCAGCTGTACAGAGGCAGCCTTGGAGATGGGCCAGGCCCAGAGGCCACATCTACGGACACTCCTGTAATGAGTTGGGAGCAAGGCTACTATCTCTCCTCTGCAAATGAGGACACAGACACTTGGAGACAGGGAAGTCACGCACATTCCCAGCACAGCTCAGGTGTGAGC